TCCATTTAACTTGTTTAATTTGAGTGGGCTAACTAGAGAATATGAAAATAGGAGAGAGAAAGAGAAGAGAGAAAGAGGAGGGAGGAGAGATAGAAGAGTGTTCGGGGAAGAAGAAAACAGGAAAGAGAATAGGAGATAGAGAAGAGAGAAAAAAAAGAATAATAAAAAAAAATATATATTGCGACTGGCCGTACGGTACGGCAGCTACGCATGAAATTTTGTGTTTGAAAATTTTCATCGTGAATAAAAAAAATTAATGACGAGTAATCGGTAAACAAACTAATTTATTTACAAATTTCTTTTTTATTAAATAGAAATTGATTGAAACTCTTCTAGTGAGAGAAAATTTTAGTGAGAGGAAATTCTTTTTGTTTTCTTCGTCTTTAAGTCCCTTGGTGTCTTACTCCTTTCTAACTTTCCTCAGTTTCTTTCTCAAAGTTACTCCTTCTTTCTTGTTCTAAGATGAGTGATCGTATCTTTCCTAATACTTTTGTTTATCCTCACCGAATTGGGGGGTTTAAATTTCCTCCTCCAGTGTTTGAAACAAGTTATCTTTGTTGGGATTTTGTTGTTATAGGTCGTTTCTGGGATGCTCGTGTTTTTTCTCTTGAATTGGTGCAGCGTTTAGTGTCTAGATACTGGCATCTCCGAGGTCCTGTGGTGGTGTTTCCTTATGATGATGACTTTATTTTATTTTGTACAAATGAAGAAGATGTTGTGGACCTTGAAAATCAAGTATGGGTTCATCTTAAAGGAAGCTTGATGGTCTTACAGCGTCTTAGAGGGTACTCAGTTTTGGAAAACCTTAACTTGAATCTAGCTGATATGTGGGTAACGGTTGTTGGGCTTCCGATTCGCTATTCTACACTACGGGTGGCGGCTTTGATGCTTGCTCATGTTGGTGACATAACTATGGAAGAAGAACTTAAAGGTGAGTTTCCAATCCCTCGTCCTAGAGTTAAATTATTGGTTGAATTATCACAACCTTTGATTGCGGGATGTTACTTTCCTACCTATGAAAACGAGCCACGTGGGTTCGATTTAAATACGAGGGTATCTATAGATTTTGTAAAAAGTGTGGTTTTGTCGGTCACGGTCGGACAACGTGTGCTAAAGAACAGGATGAGGTAAGCTTCCACCTTGAACGCCGCTTTCTTAGACTCCACGAAAGCGGCACGTGTTTTATTTGGGCCGAGGGATGTGTCTTTATACACCAATGCTATTAGGGGAATTAGTCCGAACCAAGATAATTGGACAACGGATGTGGCCTTATAGGATTAGATGGATGCCACTTAAAAGGGGCATACCCGGGTCAAATACTTGTGGCAGTTGGCAAGGATGGTAATAATAGCATATATCCAATTGCTTGGGCTATGGTGGAAATAGAGAACAAGGATTCTTGGACATGGTTCTTGGAACTCTTAATGGCAGATCTTGGTGATGAAGACCAGGGATGTGGATGGACAGTGGCGGACCCAGGAATTTCCGACTGGTGGGTCACAATCGATAATCAAGTATGTAAAAAAAAAAATTACCGAACAACCAAATAATAGTACTAAAAAATACATCCAAATATTCAAACAGTACAAAATACAACCAAATGTTCATATAATACTACAAAAGACAACTAAATAGTAATGCAAACTTATTACAATAGTTCTCGACGAGTTTTCATGTTTTGATATCGATTCATGATATCTTCCATGCTAACATTCAAAAACAAATCATTCTCCAAATAACTTTCTTGAGGTGGAGTTATAGTTTGTTCATTTTGTGTTGGATGTGGAAGAGAAGTTGGAGTAGGATTCTTTTTAGCAAAGAAGCTAGTAATGTTTTGCATTTCATTTGGAGTACGTTTTCTCTTCATTCTGAAATTTGAATAAATATTGAACTAAATCAAGCAATATTCCCCAGAAAAATTACTTGAATAAATATTCAACTAAATGGTCTAAATCAAGCAATTTCACATAATGACATAATCACATAAACATATTACACAAAACACAATTACACAAAACAGATTTCACATAAGTAATAAGTTCAAGAGATTTCAATTACACAAAACACAATTACACAAAACACAATTACACAAAACAGATTTCACAAAAAGAATCAATTGATGATTAGTTGATTACCTACCTTGCTAGGCGGAGGCGAGCAGCGGAGCAGGCGGAGCAGCACTGCAATAGGGCCACGGCCAGTCGGCCAGCACCGCAGCACGGCAGTCGGCAGCACTCAAGTCTCAGGCACCGAGGCACGCACTCAGCAAGACAGCAATTCGCCAATTCAGCAGCACAGCCAACTACAAATTAACAAATCAACCAAAGTTTAAACCAAAGTTTAATAAAATTAACTAATTAGACTGAATTAATTTGAAGATTAGAAATTAAAAATAAAAATTAGAAATCAACTTACTAGCGAGTAGCGATTTCGAAATGCGATTATGCGACTATGCGAGAAGCCACGAAGAGGACGGAGTCCACGACCACCGACGTCCGACCACCAGGCGAAGAGAACGGTGGCTGCCTGGCTGGGACGAAGCGAAGAGGCGAACTGAAGAATGGAGATGAGGCGAAGTCGCGAAGAGAAGAAGGCTAGGGCTTGAAGTCTTGAACTGAATTCGTGTTTGGTTTTTTTGGGGAAAACTGATTTTAATTTTTTTTTTTTTTTTTTTTTAAAAAATAACTTAAAATTTTTTTTTGGGCCTGGTGAGTCACTTGACCCACCAGGTCTAAGCCCAAGTCCGCCACTGTGGATGGACATTTATGTCTGATAGGTAGAAGGTAATTATCCTTCTACACTTACTTATTATTGTTTAATTTTTCCTGGTTCTTTTCATTGATTGCTTGTGTTGTTTGTTTTTGGTTGTTTGAAATCAGGGGTTATTGGAAGCTTTTCAAGTTGTTGTGCCTAAAGCAAATACAAGGTATTGTGTGAGACACATTTGGGCAAACTTCAAGTTACAGTTTACTGGGACAACATTTAAAGAACTGTTTTGGAGTGCTGCAAGAGCTACAACCTTGGTATGTTTCTCTATGTATTCAGTCTTTGTATTTGTACATAAAATAACTACGGTTGTTTCTACTGTGATGTGGTTGCCAGAGCATACAATGACTTGTTTTTTTTTTCACTTGTTTTATTTGAAGTAGTTTGATTTTGAGGTGGCCATGGAATCCATTAAATTTCTTAGTGATGATGCTTATGAATACCTTGCCGAAATCCCCCCCCCCGGTTACTGGTTAAGACATGCCTTTTCCCCTAATTGCAAGTCAAATATGTTGTTAAATAACATATGTAAGACATTCAATGCGGTGATTAGAGAGGCTAGGGATAATCCCATTTTGACACAGATGGAGTGGATGCGAAGATATATGATGAAAAGGAACTCTGAAAAATGGGAATTATATGACAAAATGGGGGGGAAGGTGGTTCCTTATGTCCACAAGGTCTTTGAAGGGATAGAGAGAGCAGCTAGACATTGTATAGTGCAAGTTTTAAGGGGGGATACATATGAAGTTGTTTTAAATGGGGATCAAGTCTCAGTTGATCCTTCACAAATGACTTGTACTTGTTACCATTGGGAGCTAACTGGGCTCCCTTGTGTACATGCCTTTGCTTGCATGATGGATAAAAGGGTTAACCCAGTAGACTATGTGGATAGCTACTACCATGTCTCCACTTACTTTGCAGCATATAGGCATTCCATTACCCCTATCCCTGGTCCAAAACACTGGGAAAAAGTTAAACTCAGGGCACCTCTCCCACCAGAAATCAAGATACAACCAGGGAGGCCTAAGATGAAGAAAAGAAAACTTGAAAAAGTGGAGGGCACATCAGAAGACCAAAAAAATAAGCCTTCAACATCAAAGAAACAAAAGCATTGCAGTTTATGTGGCAAGGCAGGCCATTATGCAAAAACTTATCCCTCAAATGACACCACATCTGCATCTATCTTGGTTGAAGCTACTGTGGAAACAGAGAAGAACAAAGGTGGGAGACCACCACTACAAACAGCATGGGTAGTTGCTGAGAGAAAGAAGGAACAGAGAGCTGTTAGGAAGGTGGGATTCCTTCTTTTATTATTCATTTTTCATGCTCATCTAAACTACTCTAAACTAACACAAAGTTCCTTTGTTTCCATTTAGAGAAAGCAGTAGGAGCTTGCCCATCTAGCATAGCAAACAAGAGCTTCCCTCAAGAACCAGCTAATTCAGCACCTCCACCTCCTACAGCAAATACTCCAACACCAACATCTGCAACAACATCAAAACCTACCTCAAGATCATCTCAGGAAAGGGCAACAAGCCAAGCATCAACTGCACAAACTGCTGGACCAAGAACCAGATCAACTCAGAATAGAGAGAAGCTGAAACCAATTAGAGGACTGTAGTGATTTATTCAGAGAATGGTTTTGTAATTCTATCAATTTAAAAACAGTAGCATTAAGTTTGTGTACCTGTATTTTGCACATTTTGGACAACAATTACCAATGCAATATGACAGATTTATGGCAAAATGTATTCCATTTCATTCCAAACTTCAAGGTTTACATTACTAACCATTAATAAGCATAGTGTATTAATGTCTTAACCATTAATAAACTAATTCATGGCTACATTTTTTCTGAAAATTACAATCATTCCTAACAGCATCAACACAAAACAAAGCAGTGCAACAATTAGGAAGTAGTTTGAAGTTGGAGTAGGGTTCACTTCACTAGTAGAAAAACATTTATTTGCAGGGGTCAAAAATGATTTATTTGCTGCGATTTTGGAGTGGCAGCAAACGCCAGGGCAGCAAATCAATTGATTCATTTGCTGCAGTTGGTTATATGCAGCAAATTAGTAGATTCATTTGCAGCGGTTAATTCCATTAACCCTTGCAAATTAATATTTTGATTTGCAAATAATTAAATATGTTATTGTTGGATTTTTATTTGTCTAATATGCTAATAATCTGCTATATAAAAAATTTCTACTCTTAAGACGAAATTGCACTAGTAAAAAGAAAAATACCAAATTGCACTTTAAATTGCTACTTAAAGGCTTATATGTATAACTTAAATATCCCCATTACCAAAAGCCTGTATAATTAAACTTTTATCGAAAAAAAAAAACTACAATACATCAGCCATTTCAACAGCTTAGCATAATAAAAGAGCAGCCGCAATAGTAGTGGCGTCAAGCGGCCAACAACAACAATGGGGTCGAGCTGCCAGCAATTATTCTTGATCATCATTTGATATTGTCAATTGAAAAATTTGTGCTTTTATCCTGCATATAATTAGCAAATATCCCAAGTTAAATATGTTAAAAAACTATCCTTAAAACAGCATATAATCAGCAAACTATTGATTTTATGATGGAGAGGCAAGAGACATTAGCCAAATAACATAATCAAGAACACAAAGCTGAAATTCACAGGGCACTATCTGTAGATAGTAATCTGAAGTTGTTTAATTGGCTTTTGATACTTAAAAGACAAATCCAAGAATTATATATATATACACCAAATATTAGAAAAGAAAAGGGAAAAAAAAAAAACTCAAACTAGTAAAATTTATACATGCACTAGTCAACTAGTCACCACTATACCTTTTTTTTTTTTTTTTTTTTTTTTTGCTTCATATGATGGCAAATATCATGGCAAATCTCTAAAGTATAGTAATAAGGCACATAATAAATCAACCCCAGCCCTTTGTAACCCACCTTTTATAACCAATTTACGCGATTTTTCTATATGATAGATTCACCATCCCACACTTTGTTCCTTAATAATTTCAAAACTCATTGTATTCATAAATTTACAGATTACTAGAAGCTTAATTTCCTAACTAAAATATCCCCACAAATTTTAAAAGTTGATTTATCTTATAACACAAAAGGTAACACAAAAGGGCAATTGCAGTTAATCACCCAACTTCAAGAAGGAGACAGTTTCTTTTATATATCCCAGCCATAACTTAGAGAACTTAGAGATTACAAAAGGCAAACTTCAAATGCATTCAGCAATTCCCAACCCCCAGTGAACAAAAAACATCCACAACAACAAAAGAAATCACATAGTTTCTGTCATTCATCCTAAAGTTCATATACCAACACAAATTATGTCAATCAACCAACAATAATCAAATAAGACAATCACCAGAAAATTCAAATTCATCATACAAAAACCTCAATCAATTAATTCAACAAGAGAATAAAGAGATAAATCATAATATGAGAGTAGAATTAGTCTTAGATACGAGGAAATTCCAAGAGTTAGTAGCGGTGACGATAGGCGGAGGAATTGATGCTAAAGACTGAACATCAGCGAAAGCAGGGCGATGAATTGGCTGGAAATCGTACTAGCTGTTCCTGTCTTTCTCGCATCAGATTGCTTATTTCGATATTAGGCAAATCACAAATTCAAGAAAATAAACAACCCTAAGATCAAAATCAATACAAAAAAACCTTGAAAATCAAATCAGATTATATACAACAACAGATCTAATATTGATGTTGAAAATAATCAATTTTAAAATCAATTAAATATAATCGCACAATTGTATTCATCAAATTAAACCTAGAATTTAAATACAAACATGTTCAAATCTTTAAATAGAGAGAGAACGAGAGATTACTTGAATTGGATCCATGTATAAGAGATAGACTAAGGAGCAAATTGAAGAATCAAAGTAGAACGTGAGGGTGAAGAGTGTTGACAGTGGTGGAGAGAATGTGAAGCGTTAGCGGCGAAGATGACGGTTAGCGCCGGTGCGGATGACGGTGACTGAGAAAGATGAAGTCGATCTAGTGAGGAAAGAGGAAAGAGGAAAGAGAGCGGCGGTGAAGGGTGAGAGAATGAGTAATGAAATGACAAAGGAATAAGGGTTTGGGGGATATAAGCAAGATGAATGATTTGCAGCGGATTTAATGTTTCACCCCTGCAAATTAATAATTTCGATTAAAAAGAAGGGAAAACATGCTTTAATTTGCAGCGAATAGCACAAAACGCAGCAAATAAATTTTTTTCTTGTAGTGCTTGCTGACAATTCTTGCTCATTTTCTTCCTATCACCACTTAAAGCTTTGCACTTCAACTTCAAGTTGTCAATTTCATTCAACAAGCATCTTCTCTGCCCACTAATGTCCTCCACCTCTCTTTGTAGTGAGTTGAGCTCAGCCTTCATCAGCTTCTTGTCAAGCAACAATTGGTTAATAACATCCTTTTACCATTCAAGTATGACTTCATGAATTTACTGCAATTTACGAAATTATTTGCCCACAAATTGGTAAATATTTTCCCAATTTCAACAGCAATATGAATCGAAAAAAAGGGTATTGAATAGCATTGACAATTGACTTAGTTGAGTATCAATTCAATTGAAGAGTAATTTAATGGGTTCCTTGCAGAGGAATTCGAATTTTAACACAAAGTTTGGGGAAAAAATTGGGACTCATAAGGTTTTTTGGATGAAAGAGAATAAAAATCGAGGGCAGGAGTTTTAATTTTAACAGCAAAGTATAGCCGTTATTAGGGGCCCACAATCGGTAAAATGGTCAGAAACAGGCTACAAGTGGTGATATCAATATTTTTAGCCTTTTACAGGTGGTTATTTAAAATTATGAAAAAAATAGGTGGTAAAATCAATTTTAGGTGCTTTGACAGGTGATTATTTACAATTTTTCCTCATAATAATCATAATTAAAATAATTATGTTAAAGCATAATAATAGAAAGATCTTAGGCATGATACTAACAAGATTAATAACAAACCCTACCATGTCACTAAACATCAAAGATCAAAGCTTTAACCCTAACATGATACTAACATGATATTAGGAAAGAAAATAGGAAGCATTCTTTTAATCATACTTGATATTAGGAATTTTTAGTTGTTAACCCAAAACATGATACTAGGAAGCAATAAAACATCCTAAAACATGATACTAGGAATCAAAATAATAACCTAAGCATGATTTCTATATCAAAATATCAATTAAACAAATAAAGTACTTACTTGGATGTCTCATACCTCTTTCAAATAACAAAATACACACATTATTAGTAACTTCAAGGAAAATATAAAATCAAACAATTAAATTAAATAATTGAAAGAGAGATTTGGGACCAAACCCTCAGAAATTAAAACCTTTCACGTCTAGGGCGAAGGCAACTTCGAACTTGGCTAGGTATGTCTAAATCTTGTGAATGATGAATTTGTATGAGAAAAGCTAGTTTAGAAAAGAGAGAGAGAGAAGAATCAAGAATTTCTTGATGAGAATTGGTGATAAGAACTGAGAATTGATGATCTAAAACAGAGGTTTTAGGAGGCTATTTATAGAGAAAATATGTCGAATATGATAAAAAAAAACGAATCGGAGTTTCAAAAAGAATAAAACACGATTGCAGCGCCAAACACGCGTCTGTAGCCAGGCGACAGACTTGTCGTATGGCGCTGCAATTAATCTTTCACGCGTTTTCTTTTTTTGATAAAATTTAAGCGTAAAAGAGGGTAGAACTGTATTTTCCTTAAAAACACTTCTTTTTATTCTAATTAAAACTCTTAAAAGTCAACTAAAGTCAATTTATCAATGCTAATTAAATTAGGACTCAAAAGAACCCTCTAGAAAATTTTAGAAGACTATAATCAATCCTAATCACATTAGGAATGATAAATCAATAATAGGCCCTCCTCTAGATCATTGGGCCGCATATAAAGATCAAACCAGACACAGTTTAGTAATTTGGCCATAACTTCCTCATTATTCATCGGAATTGGGCTTATGATATATCGTTGGAAAGCTCTTTTCGAACCCGACCCAACAACACCATTATTAGACTCTTGTCATGGACCAAACCAAACTGTATTGGCTGTTTTCTTAAAATAGGTTTTCAAAAATAGAGAGAAAGAAAATAAATAAAACTAACCGCAGCACTAGACCTTCCACACTTTCACTTCATTCGATTATGATTCGACGTGAAAGGTACTCATCACTGGGTTTGGTTTTGGGGAGACACAAATGGGTGTCTACAATTGTGAACATTCGATGTTGTAATTTAGGAAAGCATGATGAGTGATTTATTATGTGGCAATTATTTTGTAATATATGATGTTGTTTATTGCTATATAATGACTAGTATGGCCCAATAGATTGCTAAATAAGATCTGCGCTTCGTGATGTATTTTTGTAATCTTAGTACGGTCTACGTACCGATAAAGTATTTTTGTAATTTTATTTCATTTTATTTAAGTAGTAGATAGAATAGAATAAAATTACAGGTTGCAGTTAATCCAAGAAGCCCATGAAGTGAAAGCCCAAAGGACCAAGGTGGATGAGATCCTTGATGATTCAAGTGGGAGCATTTACTTTATGCATTCAGTTTATTATGCATGTTAGATTTTATTGATGTTTTTGATGATGCGCTAGAGTTCACTAAACAATCACAACATAATAAATCTAGGTGCCGGTAATATTGAGATCGCCTTTTCAATTAAAAACCCGATGAAACTTTTGATATTTATGATGGGTCATGCCTCAACTGGGTGTCATATTATATCTTTGGGGAGTGGGGGTAGATCACGTTCTACGCTTTTGATTGGTTATACTCAACAAGGTTACCTAAAGGGTATAGAACCTTGAAGCTAAGGGTAATAATTAAACATGTGATGATTAATTATTCAACCAAGAGTTACAAAGAGTTGTAATCAGTAAAGAGTTTACTCACCTTGAAATGTAATACTTGATGGTAGGGCCTCAGTCCGGTCAGTTATTGCACAAATAAAGGATCTTGGAATCAATTTATTCAATAGGGATCAAATTAAAATTGAATAAATGTTTTAAAGTTACCAATATTTAATTCGCTTATGGTACTTTAAATTTTATTAAACATAATTGAATTTTGCGTTTACTCATAAGTAACATGTCGTTCTAATTTTATTATTATATATAATTTCCTCGATTGAAAATAAAGTTGAGAAATGTTCTAAAAAAGGTTAAAAGATAATCCATAAAATTATATTCCAATTTTTCTAAGATAATTCTAAAAGGCAAGTTTTAAAAACCCATGTCACATGTCTAAGGTTGGTTCTATTCAAAATGTTTGAGTAAATTGCCAACACATCTTCATTTTGAAAAGTGTTTCAAGGGATATAATGAGATGGGAGGTACAAACCCTCTAAAAGACAAGTATAGAAGTCCAATAAAATCTCTTATCTTAAATATGATTGAATATAAGAAAGTGATTGGAAATATCTATGATCAAAGGTTGATCAAATGACATTATTCTTCATCCATTTCATATAGAGTTAAATAGATGATTAAACTCAAATATGAATGATGATTGAATAGACTTAGCAAAATAATGAAAAGTGCTTAAAGTAGTTAAGCAAAGCATCATTTTGAATCTAAGAGAAATGTTCTGAATGGCTTTAATGCAAAAAGGTTTAGGAACATATGAGGATTACATTAAGAAGTTATAGGCTAAGAAATGCAAACAAGTTGCTACTTCTCAAACCTAGACTACTTACATGCTAAGAGTTGTTATGAACAACAAATGTTTCAAATTAAATGGACAATTCCAATTGATTAGAAACTACCTCATACAGTTGGAAGGTAAAAATGAAAATGTTCCAAATTTAAGAAGTATATTATAGAAATTGATTTAGCATATTGCTACTTCTTGGACATAAGATGTCTTGTTTAGATCACTCATTTCACAATGTGGTTGAACTAAAGGAAGAAGTTATGACTAAAGGAGAAATAAATCTACAGGTTCAAAAGCAAATGTTGCTACTTCACAAGTAGAATCTGTTTCGAGGTTTTCTGATGTCCTGCGGGAGAGTTACAACACCGAGACTGGAACCGGACGCCTGTACCTGCAAAACAACGAAGACTCCTTGTGGTAGGAGCTCCGCCTCCAACGGTCAAGTTAGTACTTGTATTAGGAGTAATAAGTGCGGAAATTAAGGTGGTTTAGTCTCTCTAGGTGAGAGTGTTTAATGTATAACCCGTGTGTTATTCGAGTTCTCCCTCCTCTTAATGAGGATTAAGAGGGGTATTTATATCCTCGAGAAGCGTGCCAGTCTCTAGGTTTAGGGTAAACCTAGGGCTGACTGGGCCTCATAACAGGATTGGGCCTTGGTGGCCGGTTTTCCCATTAGGCATGGGTGGACACGTGGCGTGTCTCAACTGGTCCGTAGAGGACATATCTGCGACTGACACGTGGCAGGCTCCTATTGGCCCACATGAAGGACACATGGCGGAACCTGGTTGGTCCACTTGTCAGACGGCGATTGGCGGACAAAAATCCCCTAATCATTTGCCCCTCACAGGTGGCACGTGACTGGTCACATGTCACCTGTGACAGGTGTCGCGTGGTGACAGGCGACGGCTTGCTACAGGTGTCACCTTGCAGATGGCCGAGAGATTTTCCCGCCCAAAATTTTGAATTTGGAAGCGACCCTTCGCCTTCTCACTTTGCCTATATAAGGAAGTGCTGACTTTGGTCATTTTCACATTTGAGAACTTTTGCGAGAGAACATTCGGACCCTTGAACTTGCTCTGACACTTTGGACTTTTGTTGCCTACCGCCTGCTCTGACAAGCCGTTTGCAAAGGATTTCAGAATTTCATCAACCGTCACTCGTTCAGGTAACCGTCGGTTCTCTTATTCTTAACTTTTTTCTTATTATTATTTTTTTTTGAAATGGCACCATGGAAGCACACGACACGCCCTAAGTTAGTGATCAGCCGGTCACCGGGGACGGCTGAATCTAGGACTAGGAGTGCCGCCTGCCCTTTTCTGGACCCATCTTTGCCCTTTATACAAAGTCCGACTGTATCTGTGTCTATGCAGAACGTGATGGCCAGAACAAAAAAGACTGCTAGGATCTCAAATTCGGACGGCTCCTCCCAAAGGGTGCCCATCAGCGAAACATCTGACCAGGCGCCAGATGTAGAAGTGAAACAAAGCGGCTGCCAAGCCGATAGTTCTGAGGGAGGGGCCAAGGTGGTCCCTTCCCATTTTACCGTTGATACATCTAACATTTCTCCGGCTTCTAAGGGAGAGGAGGCGGGCCCCTCTGGGAGAGGGGAGGAGTCGTCCTCTTCGGACTCGTCAGAGGACGAGTCCGAGTCCAGCTCTTCTGGCCACGCTTCTCCAGGCTCAGAAGAAAGAAACAGCCGCCTACAAGAGGCGAGACTTTCTCATGCAGTTGAGAAGGGGAGCAATTGGGCCGAGCCGTCCGCCTCTTACAGAGAGGAAAACACCCCCTACTACTGCACGGTACCCCGGGGCCGGATCACTGCCATGAAAGATAAAGTGGAGAGCTTTATAGCTAACCACAGGATGGGCCCTGGGTTTTTACTGTTCGTGCCGGATCCAGAAGATATTGTCGTCTGGCCGGCTGGTACCAGCTATGATGACGGCTGCTTTGGCTGCTATACGGTGGCCATCAAAGCT